TCTCATTGTACTATATCCATCCAAAACAAGAAAGGCACTAGTTCATCATACTGCTATTAACTCAACCAAAACCTCCCCATCAAGTATCACCAGACCCCACAGTCTGAACTCATCTCACGATGTCCGGCCTTCAAACCCTCTTCGCGCCGGCTCCCGAGCCCAAAACTGAGCTCGGTCGATACCGCGTTCTGTCCACCACTGCAGGTGTCAGAGTTTCCCCCCTATGCCTGGGTGCAATGTCCATCGGCTCCGCATGGTCGTCCTTCATGGGTTCCATGGAAAAGGAGGACTCTTTCAAGCTTCTCGACGCATTTGTCGATGCCGGCGGCAACTTCATCGACACCGCCAACAACTACCAGAACGAGGAGTCCGAGGAGATTCTGGGAGAATGGATGGCCGACAGGAAGAACCGGGACACCATGTTCATTGCGACCAAGTTCACGACGCAGTACCGCAAACAGGCGCTCGGACCCGGAAAATGTGTCAATTATTCTGGCAATCACAAGAAGTCGCTGCATCTCTCGGTCCGGGATTCTCTCAGAAAGCTGCAGACGGACTACATTGACCTGCTCTACATCCACTGGTGGGATTGGACGACCTCTGTCGAGGAGCTGATGGACTCGCTCCACATTCTGGTCGAGCAGGGTAAGGTCCTGTACCTCGGCGTTTCTGATACACCCGCTTGGGTCGTTTCCGCTGCGAACACCTACGCCAAGGCGCATGGGAAGACCCAGTTCTCCGTCTACCAGGGTCGCTGGAACGTTCTCATCCGCGACATGGAGCGGGACATCATCCCCATGGCTCGCCACTTTGGCATGGCTCTCTGCCCCTGGGACGTCCTCGGCGGCGGTAAGCTGCAGTCTAAGAAGCAGCTCGAGGAGCGCAAGAAGGCTGGCGAGGGCCTGCGTGCCATGTTTGGAGGGGACCAATCCGAGGATCAACGCAAGGCCAGTGAGGTACTTGAGGAAGTTGCCAAGGAGCATGGCATTGAGAGCATTCAACAGATTGCCTTGGCGTATGTTATGCAAAAGGCACGCTACGTTTTCCCGATTGTTGGTGGGCGCAAGGTGGAACACTTGCAAGACAATATCAAGGCCCTGAGCATTCATCTCACTGGGGAGCAGATCAAGAAGATTGAGAGCTTCAAGGAGTTTGATATCGGGTTCCCAATGAATTTCATCCTCGAGGATCCTAGGGAGGGTGGTGCGACGGCACCATTGGTAGCTGCTTCCGCCCCGATGGCGTGGCAGTCTCAGGGTAAGCCGATTGGGCACGAGTAGATATGGCACCTCGAGAGTTTGTACAGTTGAAACATTAAGATCAGTAATCGTACGGTTCATGAACAACTGAGTGTTCCTTGTTCATTAACATTATCTTGATATCATCTGAATGCCGTGCTCGTGTATGTTGTCTCGTCAAATCATAAATCTCAGCACTCAGCTACGCTATCGCTCTTCTGTCTGGCCCCCTGAAGTCTCATTTCTTCCGGATATCCGATGTTTTGGATATCAACGTCTTCTGTAAGTCCACAGTTGAGCCTGATGATGTGGAAGACGCTCCAGCAGTAGACATTGAGGCGCCTGATGAGACAATAGGAATTTTGTCTTCTTCGGGTTGCGCCACAGGTCTTCCGGATGCTCTCTCCGATCTCCTGACCGTGCTCCGAACCCTCATCTTGATAGCTTCGGGAAGATACTTGGTCTTGATTGCTGTGTCACGCAGCAGAACACGCAGTACGGGAATAGTCGACGCCATGATCGTAATGGCTGTCTCAGCCCCGGCCCAAACTGCCAACTCTGCTCCCCCATCTATAACTTGCATTAGATGAAAACCGATCATTCAATAAGGATCCCCACTTACGAGAAAAATCACCAGTGGTATCATTTACTGAACGCATATACGATGCTTTGACGAATGCTGCTATCCCGGCTCTGTGCCAAGTGCGTTAGACTCTGATTGTAGATCGTCATCACCATGATCAACTTACAGCATTCCCATACTCAAAGCCACAGACACACCAATCTTCTCCTTCTTGCTCAGAGTAAGACCCGATGACTCCTCGGCCGGCCTGGGCCGCATAAGAATGAGCCACGGAATGATCGACAACGCGATATCAAGAAGGCCGGAGTATACTGGTAAGACCTTAGCACAGCTATCAAGAAGACTGGTTTTGGATTTGTTAGACATTATCTTACCACTAACAAAGATCCCGAATGAAACAACCCATTTGAGATCGTAGCAGGTTCCTTCGGCGAAAGGCTTCCATCTTTTCTCCAGTGGCACACACCCAATCCAAAACGATAACGAGGAGAACGCGAAGAGAACGTTCATAGAGATGATGGAAAACCACACAAAAGCCTTCTTCCATCCATCGCACATTCGCAATAGCGATATAGCGAATGCAGTCTTGCTCCAGACTTGACCGACAAAGGAGCACGTGATGGAAGACAGGCCAACAATAGCCAATACTGTAATGTTGTCGACAGTAATAGGAAAATCGGGGCGACCGAATCGGGATTTGATGATAAACTCATTAAGGGCGGCATCTGATGCTAGGACCAACTACGTAGCAACTGTCAATACCGGAACAGGGCCGGAACTCGTCAAGAAGTGAGAGCTCTTACCCAGGAGGCAACCAGGAGAATGTCCTCGATTCGGATCTTTGTGTACGTGTAGGATATCTTGCAGTATATTCTCAATCCCAGAAACACTGCTGAAAGAACGACTAGTGTCCATAGGACCGTTTGAATATTCTCGGCCTGGGCGGTATCGTCGGCACGGATGTTGAGGACCAACAACGTCGTATCCAACTCGGATCTCGTCAAGTACGTCTGATTGGCAGCTCTGGCCACAGAGCCCAGCTCTTTGATCTGACTTCTTGAACAATGCTCACATCCTGGCGGAGGCACTACGGCCATGTTCGATGTTCCGATGTGGATGTCGGTTGCAAGAGCGACAGCGACAGCTTCATGGCATGGACAATCAGCACATGTCCGATGTATCTGACAGCGCGGAACGTTGGATCTTATAGGATCGACTGAATATGAAGCGGCATACACGAGGAACACACCAACCCTCTCGTCTCTCAAGGAATAGGCAAGTGGCGCCGTTTCATTATGTATATGAGCTCCACGTGGAGATCAGTGGGCCACGAGGAGAACTGACAAGCTTCTGCCAGGATGACCATGACTGATCAAGCCCTGGATTCAAAAGCTTCGCGTCAGAGCATCGAGCGGACACACGCGCGTCCGATTAAGATCCACAGTCCGTTTGCTGTTGCTGCTACTGAACAAAGAGGCGAAGCCCGGACTAACATCTCTCGCTTCGAGATATTGAGGCTCTGTGCGCCGGGGTTTTGGAAAGACGAATAGAAGACAAACCAAAAGAGCCTCGCTCTCATAGAAGGGCACCTCTCCTCGGCGCAACATACGAGGATTTCCTTGTGCCAAGACGAGAGCGGCTCTTGGACCTCTTCTTCGTCTTGACTTTTCTTCCTCCTGCCGGCGTACTCGCGGGCACGGCGATGTGGAGACCCAAGTCTTCCCTTTCTCATCTCTCGCCCACCTCGGGCCGCCTACTGGCTCAGCGAACGGGCTGTTTGAGTTATCACCACTGTCACAGCCATGTCGCGACTGAAGAATAATCCCAGTGGCGCACGGCCAATGTGGCCGATCCGGCCTTGTCTTTGCAAAAGCTTGACTTTCGATCAGATGTATGCTGCGTCCGATCAGGGCATCCCGGCTTTGACTCAACTTCTGACCAAAATACTGACAGGATCTGTGAGGCGCGCTTCGCTTTCCTCACCCACCCACTGGCGGCTTTTCTCTCTCCCACTTTTTTAGGGAATCGTCTCTTATCCTTATTCGGAATGCCGCAGTTCCGCTGCATCGATTATTTTCTCCCATCTCTGCGGCCAACAGTTTGTCATCTCGCGGCAATGGTGAGGTTTCGCGGAAACAGCACCAGACATGGGGACCTGGCAGTTGTTTCGCTAGTTTGCTTTTCCCCCGTTACCTGTAGCTTAACGGTCCTTCCCGTTGCGGCGGGGGGGGGGGGGGGTTCTTGGCATCTTGGAGGCATGCCCTTGTGTTTCCTCTTACTCGATCATTGTAAGATCTACGGTGCAGGTCAGCGGGGAGCCATTGAGACCATCTATAAGACAGGTCAGTATGACGAACTACCTCCTCAGCTCCCCACAGGTGCATTCTCAGCTGTCAACACGACTCAGCGCTTTACGATTCAGCTCTCTAGTAATGTCCCCACTTACATGCGGCGGCGACATGGCGGATAGGCCTCCCTCCTTTGGCCCAAAGCCGCATGCAAGTCATTTCCAGCGAAACGACTGGACATGCAGAATGCTGCTTGGGATGAAGAAGCAGGTCTGTATCTTTTACCCGTGAAACCTCTGACTTTCCTGCCCGCTCCTCTGTCCACCCACACAGGTTCCCCGCGCCCCTCCGACTGCGACAAATCGGGAGGTGGTTGTGCCGTTGATGGGGTCGTCTCAAGACCAACGTCCGTCCGTGGGAGTTTCTCCCTCCCTCATCCTTCTCTGTCAGTATGTGAAAGTCAGGCCAGGCCTCTTTATTGGACTGATTCTTTGGAAAGAAGAGTTGGATTTGGGACGATGGCGACGAAACATTCACAGTTCCATACCTCGTTGCCGACAAAGCGCGATTGTGATAGACGTGGTGTTAATCGCCAGCAGCTATAATGACTTGTCATCTGTCGTTTCTTCCGCATCACTTGGCAGCCACTCATGTACAGCTACGCTCTCATCAGATGATTCAGCTATTATTCACTCTTGATAGCACAGAAGCTGCCAAGCAAAGACCGTGCTTGAGTTGCGTCCTGCAGTTTCTTCCCAGCCCTCTAGATGTCGGTTCTCTTGTGCATGTCTCATATCGGCCACTGTTGGCAGCTGAAGGAATGGCATGGTATCCGTAACCAGATGATGACTTCAAGGTTCCCTAGGGCTGCTACATGTACACATCTTGAAAATGGTCAGTTACTCGGAGACTAAAGTGAATAGACTTCTACAGCGCTACCTATCAGCCTCAAGCGCCGATGATCGTGCATACTTGACGCAGCTTGGCCGTGGCTTATCCTTAAACCCGTCGGCTGCAGCCCTTCATCCCTTCCGACCCAGCCCTCTTATCGGTGTATGAATCAAGGGCTTTGAAGCTTGGATCTTGGCTGGCAAATCAAATCCTGCATTCAGCTCCGCCCGTCGGCACCTTCGTAGAGCCTCATCGACACAGCAAAACAGTGATCGTCGTGATGAAGCAGAAGCTAGTAGTTAGTGGTAATGTGCTGTTGTTTTATTACACTTCCTAGCTGGACTTGGCGCATACGTGCTTGTCGTAGATACGATTCGGTTCCATGAAACAGGACAGAAATTTGTTGCAAGTAAGTCACGAACAACGAGCACCAAAGTGATCGTGAACTTTCGAGTCAAGGACAAAGACAAGGGCAGGTGGAACAGAGGAAAGAATGTCGATGTTTGGAGGTCCTGGACCACAAATAAGTGGATGCATCATGGTCAATGTACGACTGGGCTCAATTGTCGATTTCGATTTCTTACGAAGGCCTATCACAGACCAATCCTTAACATCAATACAGATGAACAAGGCTTAATAACAGCGTGGCTCTAAGTATCTTAAGATCTGACCATGATGATATGACCAGATGAACTAGACTTGCCATCGCAGCCGTCTTGGAGTGGCCTGGTCTATTCAACAGAGATGCACCCGGCTTACGGCACTTGTACAAGACAAAAGATTGACGAAATTAGAAACTGCTGCATGCAGGCCGCAACGCTAAACCAGGCTTCCACGCTTTCGAGGTCAATACTCCCCGACTATTAAGATTTGCCCCTGAGGCAAAAGCTAGTGCCTTCCCCCACAGGCTGAGCAAATCAACGACAACCAACGGGCCGTATTTGGGACCGTATGACGTGATACAGAGAACCCTGTGTCAAGAATTTACGTGTAGTCCCAGCGGTAAGCCTCGCTGCTGCGCGTGGACGGTGGACCGGCACGAGGCGGGAGCATGTTGCAGCACCAACATGTTCTTGGACGATAAGCATAGTTGGACTTAGGATTATGGACATATGCCAAACAATGTTAATCGGCTAGAGCAAACCAACCGCAGTCATGAATGAGCCATTTTCCGCGTCCGCTCATCAAGGAACCGAGTGTTAATGAAGGCTTCGTGAAACCCGCGTCAGGCTCGCGCTACCCGCAAATCTTATCACATGGTCTCATTGTGTCCATCGACGAGGGCTTGCCGTTCCACCCACAACTTATGAACCGGGCAACAGCTTGACGTCAGCTGAGCGTTCTGAGAATGTTGTTGGTCGTGGTGGCTTGACAGAAGAGAGCTCCCATTGGCGACCTGCCTAAATAAGAGTTGATTAGCGGGTTGATTGGGCTGACTACCCACTGCGACCCCAATGGCGAGCAGGGGATCATCGCTAGATCCGTCAGAGGCGTGACTAAAATTGCATGGCTGTGCCTCTCGCGTCCGCTGCGCCATGCCAACCAACACTAGCAGAAATACCCTTAGAACAATTGAGTATTCGAATAACTACCCCAGACATTCCCCACGATCGAAGCGTGGTCAGTGTCGTCCGCCTCCAACAGCAAAAGCCAGCTATCCTAATACCAAATACACAAAACGAGCCTTCGATTCTCGTCTAGATACATCAAACATCATCAGCAAACTCAATCATCCTAAAACTTCAGATCGCACCACCATTATCACGACTCTAGCCGACATGGGGCTGTTTGGAAAATCAACACCGACAGAGGGCCCCGGCTCCGATGAGCCCAAGAAGTCTCTCTACCAACGCTACCAAGACAAGAAGAGCGGCCGCGACACCCAAATTTCAGACGAGGATCTCCAAAAGTACACCGGCAAGACCAAGGATGAGATCAACGACTGGGCTAAAGACCGTCCTGGCGTCGCAGGGAACCGGGCGGCAGGGACACTCACGGCGGGACCCGCTTCCGGGTTTGGCGGAATGGCCACGGCGGGTGGCTATGGTGGATGGGGAACGGATGCTGGATCGGATCCAAAGCATCCGCCGCCGCAGAAGGAGCGGAAGGAGGTCGATGACTTCGAGTAGCTGCATTAAGGGAGGGTCGTGATAGTTACGAGAACGAGAGGCTATTATTAGATATGTCAAGCATCATCAGAGAAGGAGTGAGGGGTCAACAACGAGGAGACTCAAAGGATCAGGGCAGTTGAAGACGAGCCTATCAACGGCGCGGGATGGCGGAAACATTCGTTCATCCGGAATAGTTTTATGAGTTGTCTCATGAGATGATACAATCGGTTTACTATCGTCCCATGCAGTAATACTGAACCAGCTGTTAGTGGGGACTCTTCTTGAAAAGCTTTATGTACCTATCGCCTGGTGTAGAGTTGAGACAGCCTTCATCTTTTGAATTATCAGACACGCCGTCCCACACTCACCCTTGGCAAGCATGTGGTCAGCCCAGCAATGACACGAGGTAACGGGTTGAGTACGCATGGATCTATGGTCGATCAGCTTGGCGTTCTAAGTAATTGCTTGAGGGGTCTCCAACCCCAAAGCCAAACGTCAGGAGGCTTTCTATGCGCAGCTTGCACCCATCGGGTATTTTATCCGCTTTCTTGGCAGGCGCAAATCATGCAACGCTTATCTACGTATCATTGGAGATCTGTTGTTCATATAATCGGAGTGCTATTGTCGATTTCTTAGCCGAAGTTTTCGAGGAAAGTGTCAACCACAAGTAAACCCCAAATCAGCTCAAGACTTGACCTAAGTGAAGAGGCAATTCTTACATCTACTGCGCTAACATGTCGCCTTGACTCGTGAACGAAGAGCAGCGTAGTGTAGAAACTTATCAGTGGAATACAACGGAAGAAATAGTTGAACCGGATCCTTGTCCGTAAAATTGTCTTTCCGATCATCAACTGTACAGCCCCCTTTTTGATGACTTTGATCGATGAGCGATTTGATGTGTCACGATACGTTTCATTCCTGTAGATACAGCATTATATTGATTCAATGGCTAAGCAATAAGAAACGTGTAGATATTGGGGTCTGGACGGCGCCTAAAGTTGATGGACTCGCTGTAAGATAAGTACCGCTTGGTCTGAAGATTTATAGTATTAAGCCACAAATCTGATCCAATCTGCTATATCAATTCGGTCCTGGCTTTTCTAGAACAAAGCTATGTGCTAGCGAATCGTCTTGATTAATCTTCATGGGACTTGAGGTTTCCTTTGATTTATGATATAGTATTGACTACTGCTAAGTTGAAGGAAGTAGAAAATTTGCCGAGCTCGTCATCGCAGATACAAAGAGCATGGAGAATGACGACTGATCACGCCTGATTCCCGTCACTAACATCGGCCTTTCTAAGGGAAGTCAGCCCGCATCTTGAGAATGCCGTCTATCATAGAGCTGCCAGAAGCCCAGCCAGCATAAGTCTCGGCAGAACTAGTGACACTAATGGAGAGAGCACCCCAGATCCATCGGTTTCCATTGCCATCAAGTTCCCAGTGAGGGCCACCGGACTGGCCTCCCATGGTATCGGTATCGGTGTAAAAGGGACCAGTTGAGTCGCAGTCAAAGGTTCTCTTAGAGTGAACCGTGATGTCAGTCTGGCGGTAGGGGCGATTGCCCCCGTCCTTGTCACCAGGGTAGCCCATATGGAAGAACTGAGGCTTGTCAAACATGTTGCGGTCAGGCACCTTCGCGCCGAAATAACCGAGCTGGTCACCGAGGCGCTGGTCGAGAGCATAGACTACCCAGTCACCCTTGGTTTCGCAAGGGGAGAAAGGCTCTTGGCCGTAGGTGAAGAGACCGTTGGTGATCTGGGCAGAGCCAAAGCGGGCCCCGTTGTCGAAGCCAGGGTAGAAGGATCCCGGGATAGGGGGGTCGGGGTTGCAGTGCTTGGCAGATAAGATGTGACGAGGGCCGATCAAGGCAGCCGAACAGAAGACGCCGTTAGACCACTGAAGTTTTCCAACGGAGTGGAAAGGGTAATTGGGGTCGGTCCAGAGGTGACGGTTGTCTACGCCGACGATGAAGCGCTTGGCGACCTCCTCGAGGGCAGCACCAGAGGGTGTGAAAGGAGATGCCTCGGTAACATTGCTGGTGAGTTCCGCGGCGTCAACAACAGCAATCTTTGGGGACTGGGGCATCGGCTGGAACACGGCGAGCAGCCGTGGCGTCGAAGCCGATGGGGTGAGTGATCTCTGCCTGCTCGGCTTGCCTATCGTTCAGAGGAGCTGCGGGGCTAGCTTGGACAGCAGAGCAAAAGGCGAGGACGGCTGCAGCCGCAGACTTTGTGAAGAGAACCATATTGAGACGATTTAAATTGCAAGAAGCCGACTGTTGATCTTGATAAGTCAAAGCTGTTGGTGCATTGGTGGTTGTAAAGACATGGCAGGTATCTGCTCCTTTATAGAGTTCTAATTACCTCTGAGTCATATACCATAGCAGTGAGCTTGGAGGCTTAGATACTATTTAGTGGCATGTTTCTCGTAGAAGAAAACAGTACTTTCCGAACACGGGATATGCGAAGGCTACAGCCAAGAGGTAATCAGCAGCCCGTTGCGATCTTTCAAGTCTGCTGTGCCGCTCTCAGGCAGTCTGAACGCTACAATCGAGGCTAGATTGAGCTCAGATGAGGCTACATCTTTCGAATGTTCGTGTACAGAACGACTGGTCTTAGCGAATCTTATGCCAAGCTTCTTTGAAGTAACCTAACGTCTGATTACGCTGTCAAATATGGAACTTTGGATCAATAATGAAACCCTAAATGCTTTCCCAGCTTAGGATGATGGTCCCTCGGGATTCACCGCCCATGAGACTCACCTAGCTTTCCTTTGGGGTCCATGAAATGAGAAAATTGCTGTAGTCAAACTAGAGCTGACATTCGACAGTCTACTTTATGCGGTCTGACTATGTTCTCTCTCCTTGGATATCTTTTCTCGGAAAGAAGCCTGCGCGTGTTGCTTCAGGGCTATGTGTCTCAGAAGAAAACTACCAAGAGCCGACATAGAACCTACGTTCACTCCCAGTCGTGCATTCATCGCGGAGATGACTTATCTCTAACGAACATCTTCACGAAATTGCAAGCCGAGACAAGACAATATATTACCGAGACCTTGTTGCGGATATGTTATTGAATCCTACTCCAATTTCATCCCAGGGTGAGTCTGACAACGATGGGATATGCAATTCGAATCGGTTGCCGCTTACTTACATGATAATAACACATCTTGGAAAGCGTGAGATTTGCATGGCGCGAATCCACCTGTCGTAGAAGGCAGCAGTGCAACTTGGATTTACGGCTTTGGAAGGATCACGTAGAAATGAAAGTTCGGACGTCACCTGCCTTTTCGAGCAGCAGCGTTACAACCGCTGACACTTGTCTTTGCAACCCTCCACTAAGCTGACAATTATTCAACATTGTCAACGAAACTGACCCATGGGGAAAGAGAGCCAAGAGACAGGGTAGCCTTCACATTTGTGACTTCGAGTGGTTGAGATTCCTTCCGCCCCCTCTTCTGAGTGTAATTTTTCGGTTGCCAGCAACTTGAAGTTGTTTCCGCTGACTGCATGTAAGATAAGTGCAATTCGTTTAAGTGGGCCAACTATCATGAATTCATGTGCATGGTAGCTCGAGGGACCAGGCTTACAGTCACTTGCTGCCTCGGGCTAGAGCTAGGGCCTCATCCTTCAAGAACCAATACTCAATTCCAACCTGTGTGTGATTCTGAAGGTTTGCAATTGTGACCACAGCATGCTTTGCCGACTTGTGAAACTTGGGAGACCTCATGACGCTATCAATCATCGTTGCTACATCTCATGCCATCTTCAAATCGTGCAAAAAACGTCAAATCAAGGATGCGGGGGCGTAAAAGCAGTCTCTCAATCTTTGGTGACTTCAACGCTAGTGGCCGACTTGTACTGTCGCGGGTATTCTCCTTGAGGTAGTGCAGACATAGCTTAATACAATCAGCTTTCACTACTGATCGAGTGAATAGGGAGCTTCCCGCGCGTTTGTGACTACGGCTCAAAAGGAGGCACCCGGCATATTGAGATGTATGTAACGGATGCCTGCATTCGGCAGACGAAAGTTAGGACCCTAGGATTTAGACGTCGCCTCAAGCTCCAAGATTAGCTTGTCCCTGTTTTTGATGAAGGTAAGATATGAGATCTTTAATAAAATTTATCTACTATCGGGGCATCCATGTTGCAATTCGATGGTATACAGTAATTCACCCTTTGAAGGCGAAGATGCTATCTTGGCCCCTCGCTGCCATCTTCAAGGGCACTGGGCCCTCGGCTTCTTCCCAATGTCATTTTTTAATACAACAGAATTTCAAAATATAGTAGATGAAACCAGGCATTATCTCCTCACAAACACTGAGCGTGGTCAAATACTGGATAACCGATACTCAACTTCAAATTTAGATTGGCTTGCTCAGTCAGATCGCGGCACTTCGTTGAAGCCGAATGCTTATACCGACAACTTCCGATTGAACTTCATCGCCCTTGGTAGAAGTAAATTCCTTTCATCTTTCTCTTGGTTTCATTGTTGAGTGAGTGGCAACAGCGATGCTTTGTTGACTTTTTTAATGGACGAGTAAGTCTAACAATGTGGCTTGCCCGCTGACAACAACTTGACAACCCTCAACGGCAATCTGAGATCAGGCTGTGCAAGCCACTGGATTGCCAGGAGAAGAAGGTAAGTGTGGCGGTTTCAAGCTACGTCGTTCATCTCAAAAGGTGCCATTCGTTACGAACTCGAACGGCTTTTTCGGTCAGTGCGCGAGTGTCAATCCATTGATTGATATGCCTTTTCGCGGGTGCCTGGCCAATGCAACCCGTGGGCAGGAGTGCGCCGCAAATTTGAAAAAAGGATCCAGGTCACAGCAGGCATCCGTCTGAACTTAAAAGAAGAAGGATTGCCTCTCTGCTGCACAGCCTAGTGCAGGAGATTTAGGAGTTTGCAGAGCTCATTCCTTATTACAGGTCTTATTGGGGTAATTAAAGCATGCGACACCTCACGCCTCTCCCTGGCAGCTAAGCACTCACCCACCGTAAGCGCCAGGCATGTTAACCTGAAGTCCCACCCCTGACAGAGAAATTGGTAGGTAACAATACTGCGCCGCTGATGCGGCAGGAATTAGAAGGTGAATAGCATAAATCTAGGTCTGGCTCACCTTCCGATTCATTACGGACATCAATAACGAACCTGCACTTACACAGCTTCCATGGCCTATCAGAGCCTGCCACATGAGGCGGTTTGAGTCCCGCGCAACGTAAAAATGCAAGCTTTGAACAATAAGAAATGGAGCACCTACAGGGCCAGAACCTTACCCTACTTTGTCTCACCACGGCAAGTCATGAATGAGAGTCGATGCATGATGCAGTCAGACTTTTGACAGTAGTGAATGGTCTCGTCGGCTGCTCTGAATTTGTAAGACTTTCACTTGAGAAGAAACGGGGGATTATGATCAGCGATGAGATGCAGGTTCGAGGACTGAAAGATGGGCGGCGTGATGAACCAGCTTGTGAAGTGAGATCGCCCTAACGAATCCGGTGGCAATTTGAAACAGAAAACAGAATGCCTGTGCTGTAATTAATGGCCAGAGTATGCCAGAAAACTACACGCTCTGTGAGAGTTCAACGCATCGAAGATTCGGAGGTACAGAGCTGGAATGGTCTGAAGGTCTGAACAACAAGGCCGTTCGTTCTCAATGAATTGATGCCTTTGTCAGACAATCGCTGGCAGCACGATGATACTGTGCACGGGGCTTGCCGCCCTAAACAAAGGGAACCCTAATAGAGCAGAATAAGCAATGGCAGTAGCGCTGGAAATGTTCCATGTTCCTAAGAAATGGCCTCACAATTTGCCCGGGAAGAGAGGTCTGGTCTCAGCTGCAAGGCACAGCAAGCTTTGTTCCTGCAGTCAGCTCAATCCCCTGTCGTTGCCAAGTGATGATGGGCCGTTCCCCCCTTGGCCACTTGGCAATAGACTAGAGTCACTTGTCCGGATGAGAAGACGGGTTCGGAGAAGCCTGAAGCTGTAAACACGGGGCAGTGCGGCGCATTGTCAATTCGCGCTGTTTGTCTACGGCAGTATTTTGCCGGATCGACAGTGCGAAGTCAATGTGTTGTCGGCCCTGCCCCGACTTATTCTTTGCAACACACGTGCGTTGATGGCTGGTGGCTGGAAGAAGCTGGCTCTGGCCCATGCCACTGCATACCTTACGCTGAGCAGTGAGAATGGAGGACACAGAGAGGCAACAATTGTCATTGCATTTCCCTTTCCTCAGAGGTAAGGCTGATAGAACCAATCACGTCCATGGCAATGCTACGCTGCTTTGTACGGGCTGAGAGCCTAGCGCATTACCCTTGCCTGGGAGGTACATAGGTGACAGGCATCGGGGCTGGTTCGGTGTCGGAAACGCCCTAGCTGTGAATGCGCTTTTCCGCGTTCCCTTGCCGAACCTCAGTCTACAGGTCACACACATCACGTGTGCCTGTCTTGAAGGGTCGGAGAGCTCAATCTCGTTCCTGTTCGCTGTGTCAATAGGAAACCAATATGAGGATAGGTTGACCTAGGAACCTATCCATGAGACTCCTTAATCACCTCAATCTGACGTGGGACAAGACGACTTGGAGGAGTATCTTGTCAGTTGAAACTTGAAGGCCACTTACTACCCACCCGTCCTCCCCACCCTCTAGAGAGCAACGAAGTCGAATAGACCGGGGGTGGCCGGCGCCCATGGTGGACTGCGGGGACTAACTCCGGAGACTCTCACGGCTTGCGGCACAACAGGAGGAAGAGACACTACGGAATTGAGAAACATAACACAGGCAAAGACGGTCACAGAAGAGGCCGAGGGGCCTTTGATCGGGCATGACAAAAACAATGCGCAAAAAAAGAAGCAATGGAAGAAGCCACTAATCCATGGCTCGTCTCGACTCCAACCGGAGCTAGTACGAACGGCGCGGCCAAGGGCAACGAACGAGACTGAGACCAGCCACGCCGTCGTCGCCCCAAGCTCCTCTAAGCTTTTCTTGATCCAAGTGCAATGTCACTTGGAGAGTCACTTAGTCTCCCTTGCCCCCTTGGGGCTCGGGAATCCTCCACATTGCACCATAAGGTAGTACCATACATAGCACATCGCAATGCGGTGTTCTCGGGGAACAGACAGCTACTCTGCGCGTATTCCGGCGCCTTAACGCAACGCAGCGCAGCGCAACACCACGTCCCAATGGCGGCAGAGAACAAGACCCTGATGCGACGATAGGCGACAGCGGTGATGTCTGATGTTGAGGGCCAATCACACAGATCGCGTCCCTTGCATCAATCCCCTTCCATAGGACCCCAATGCGCCAAGATTCGTGCCCCGTCACACCCTCTCGAGAAGAAAATTGCCGGATGACCTCGCCAGGTTCCCGATTGAGCATTGCGTATCCAAAGCACACCATATTCAACGACTAAAGACCTATTTGGTCGGGCCCGCGCCTCAGCCGCCGCCTCCCATTGCACGGGAGAAAACTGGGAGAAATCATTTGTTGCTGACCGCCTCCAAAGTCCCTCCTCTCTCCAAGCCCCCAAACTGTCTGCCTACGGCTATCCCAAAAGGTACAAGTTTGTGGGTTAAAAAAGGAACCCGAGGATCTGCTGCCAAGTGCCTCGGGCGTAGACCGCGGGGGACTGCAATCTTGACATCCAGCCAGTTGGGATTTGCCAATGCTCGTATTGTCGCCTTTTCACCAGTTCATGCCCATTTCGAGTCAGGGGGTCACCTCGCAAATGTGTCTGAAGACCGAGGTTAAGCCTCAGACTCCAAAAGCCCTGACTAAGAGTTCGAACACGATCTTCTTGGCTCTAATTTCTTCTTCGTCTGAGTCCTTCGTGACGATCACACCGACAACCGCTGTTCTTTCACTTCATGTTTGTTTGCCAACAGCATCCCCGCAAAATGGCCCCTACCTTACCCCGTGTAGACGTGGTCCTGGCGCCGCGCATCGACCCTTTGGCCGGTTTTGGGACACGCCGTCTTTCTTGCGACATCAAGCCGCAGCCCGTTAGTCTCCCTCTACCTCACGAACAGGCACCCAACCTTGCCAGTCGCAAGACAGACCGCGCTCTTACGGCCACTCACGCCATTCCCCTTGCTTCTTGTTGTCTGGATGGATGCGAGCTTGGCGTTCAGAATGTCCTGCCTCCCCCATCTCGCCCGAGAACCCGGCCGCGGCCGTTGGGGGCGCGGCACACGGACGGAATGCCCGCTTGGGATCACCTCTTGCCTAGCCTTCTCCGCGCGCCGCTTGACGGGTTAGGCCAGCACTCTCATTTCCTTTAATCCCCGATGCTTCTCGTACATGAGAAGCCCCGAGGATTCTTCTTTTAGTACACGGATACGGGGGTTCAGATATAAGTGTAGCCAACCCACATAGTTCGAAGTCGAGCTCGTAATAATCCATCTGGTCGTTCGTCTCACTGTCATTCGCTTTCAACCACACCATCGAACCGCCAAGATGCTTGTTAGAGTACACTCTCTTTCCCTCCTCGCAGCCATTGTGACCTATGGCGACCTGGTGGCGGCTGTCCCCCTCGAGTCATCGTCTGCTCTCAACACCCGAGACCTGCCCCGCCCGCGCTTTGGAAATGTCCCATACGGCGTCGATATAACTCATTGCACAGTCAATGGCAAGCTTGCCCTCAGCTTCGACGATGGCCCCGGAGAATACACCAACCAGGTTCTTGACACGTTGGAGAGGAACGGCAACATCAAGGCGACATTCTTCCTCGTTGGCACGAACGGAAATAATGGCATCGCCAGTGGAACCTACACCTCCGTCCTGAAGCGGATGTTGAGCGCTGGCCACCAGCTCGGTAGTCATTCATGGAGTCACAAGGACTTCAACACAATTTCCAAGGACCAACAAATCCAAGAGGTGCTCCAGAACGAGGAAGTCTTTGCCAAGACCCTCGGCCTCATTCCCACCTACTTCCGCCCTCCTTACACTCACTGCGACGGCCAGTGTATATCTACACTCAACGATTTCGCGTACCACGTCGTAAGTTGCACGTGCAGTGGTATATCTCGGCTGATCCTCAAACTGACACTCATGCGTAGACCGATTACAACCTTGACACCAAGGACTGGGTAGACAACGGTGTCAACTCAAAGGCTACCTTCTCAGGTGCCATCAATGGCGCCAGCCCCGCTAGTTCCTCCTTCATCAGCTTGGCCCACGATATCCACACATTCACCGTCAACGGCTTCGTCCAGTTCATGATCGACACGGCGAGGGAGAAGGGCTTCGAGTTCACGACCATCGGCGACTGCCTCGGTGACCCGGCCTCGAACTGGTACCGCGACCCCAAGACTGGCGAGCCGTGGAGCGGAGTCAAGGAGGAGCCCAAGCCCACTACGACCAGCAAGGAGATTGTCATTTCCACCACGACGTCGACTCCTATCTCTGGCACGACGTCCGCTCCGGAGATCAAGATATCCACGACGAAGTCTGAGTCAGAGACCGTCAAGCCCTCTGTCACCGTCAAGAGCGCTTCCGAGACTGAGGAGTCTGAGAGCGAGACTGCTACGCCTACTGCCACAGGCACCGGCGTCAGGCCTTCTACTGCATCCAGAACCGTCGACGGTGGTGCCAACATTGGCATTCCGGTGACTCCTACCGGCACGACCGCTGCTGTGAGACCTACCAGCACCAACACCGTAGTCGAGGTCAACGCCGCTGGCCGTACTGTCTTCTCTTTCGGTGGTGCCATCGCTGGTGCGCTTGCTTGGGCCTTGATGGTTTGGTAGTCGCATAAAGTACCCTGACCACACAGTCCCGCCATGGGAAGAGGACTATAAGCTTCGTGTAATATTTTGGATAATCCCTAATCTGGACATCGCTAGGACGATCGGTCGTTTGAGAATGGGATGGAGTTAAGACGAGTACATGATACCACGCCCTTGATGGAGTCGAGTTGTAGTGTACTACATATTGCTGTATAGATGCGATCGCGAGTAGATTTCGACATGAATACAAAAACTTCGTTGGTACTCCGTCTCAATTACTTGTTAGTGCACAAGTTCGTCCGTCCATTATGGAAGATCTTCGTGAAGCGGCACCAGTTCATCAGGCATTTGAAGATCATCTTCCATGAAGACCAGGTTCCCTTCATAATAAGCGCACTTTAGAAGCGCAGGATATTGCATGCATCTCGTCACTGTGAGTGCTATGGTACTGCCGTGCACGCGCAGGCCGGCTAAGACTACCTCTCTTGTCGATATGTCTCTCGTGGCCTCCCGATCTGAAGCACTGGTTGAAGCCTTTTTGAAACATGATTGGTTGTGCTGCATATATGTCTGGATTCAAACATACCCGATAACTAGGAGTGCACCAAATGTGGCTAAGGAGAATGAAACAACGCGCTCCCAACGCGTTCTGAGAAGAGGGTGACCCTTGATCGATGAATGTCCTCATACTCTCAATAATATCGATCGCTTCGTCCGGCGTTTAGAGTAAATACGAGGCAACCAACCTGCGTAGCTCCGCCAATCCCCCCATTAATACCTGTGGGCCAAAGCATCAGTAGGATTTTCAAGGAATCACTTGCGGCGAAGACCTGAAGAAAACAACTTACAATGCTTCCAATTAGCTAACATGATATCATCACAAGACGGTCCATCGGTACCAAGTGGCCGCTGGGTATCTTGGAAACCTTGGGAGGTGCGGCACCCGACCTTCCAGTTGACCTTGAAGTCCAGGTAAACCCCGTATTTATCCTTGTAGCGCCATCGCCAGGCATGAAGGGGGTGATCTTGGACATCTTCTACGATAGTGATGGTATCGTGTGCAAGGCCTGAGTCGCAGAATCGTTCTACGCCCTTGTCGACGCCGTCGTGGTGCACATCTCGGTGGCGCTTGTACTCTTTGTAGGAAGGGTTGTTGCAGTCGATTGGGAAGAGATCGAGGGGTGTCTCATCTTCTCGAGGCCGAATCGGCGCGGAATACGAGCTTCTCGAGTCCGGCAGTTGGGTTTGTGGCCCAGGATTGCCTGAGTTCTCGGGTGAGAGGAAGGGTGTGACTGCAGGCGGTAAGAGGCTCAAAGGTGATTTTGTCGGATACTTGAGAGTTGATGGGTCTCTGATTGAGGAAGATGGTGTTGAGCTGGAGTTAAGTCCTAATTTGGTCCATGGTTTTGAGGTCTTGAATTCGTGCATGACAGCAGCATGGCCTGCGATGGCATAGACTATAAGCGACTGAAGAAGCAAGTTGGCTAGCATGATTGTAGGTTTTAGTGGAGGGTCAAAACAGAAGAATTCATGTCGAATATGAGTTTCTGGAAGAACGCCTCTAGGTATTCTTGCAAGCCTTGGAAAGAGGCTCTATATAAGGAACGCTCTTCGAACACTTTAGGGACGAAAGAGATGTTTCTGGGTTTGTAAGCCGATTGCCCAAGTCTCAAGCTTGTTCACTGTTACCGTCACACAGCAAACCTGCCGAGCCTTCTGACGGCGTACCGAGCTAATTTTATTCTGTCCCATAGGTCTTATTACTTTTCTAGTCAGGTCATTTTAGGTATGACAATCACTATACGCACCGTCCATGTTCTACAAGACCATTTTCAAAGAACTCCGTGCCGCATTTGCGTGGCTCTTCAACAAAGCACTTCTCTTGCATCTCGTAAAACCCCAACACCTTACTTGCAACATTGAATGTAGAATAGCAAATTATTCTCAATGTGTAACACAAAAATGAACCTGATATTCTAGTACCTCAGTGGTATCTATCGTGCAAGGGATTTTTCACGCTTCGAGGATCCAGTCCCTCCCTCAACCTCCGGACACTTGAGTTCTTCCTCTGACAACTGCTTCCAAGCCTCAAGGACCTCGATGAAACCATCGAGGTGCTGCTTGAACGACTCTAAACACATAAAATCAGGTAGCATCCACTGGTGTGAAAAGACCTGATGGTTGTCTTCAACAGAGAACAGTTCCGGAATGGTCCTCACGACGATGCTGCAAAGAGGACAACATAGTTTGGAAATCCCAATGTACTTACCTATACGTGGCTTTGTTGCTTGAACATCGTTTTTCGGTCGTCTCTGAAGGATGTAGTAGTCAAGAACCTGCATTTCACAGTGCGTCAGCCTCAACATAGGTCCCTGTGTGGTGGGGACCTCGGAGCCACAAGGGGCTGCGAGAGGATGGAACTCGACGCTGATGTTTATCGGAAGAAACCTTTGGCGATGTTCTGGTAAAAACTTGGAAATAGTCCCTAGGTTGATGAATGGCTCGGCAAGAATTCTGAGAACGGAGTAGAAACAACGGCTTAGCTTTTGTGTGGTAAAGTCCACGCGTACCTGTTAGCTCCAAGAACCCACGAATCTCTCCGCGAATGTCGTCTTCAGCCTGTTCACGGCCTCTTCTTTCGAACAAGCGACATGATGCTTTCAATGCTTGATGGAGTCCAGGGATCGATTCATTTGTGACCAGGGGGTTAATGGCGTCTTTCTCCGTGATTTGTTCGGCATGTTCCCAGGCCCGTTTGAGGGGGTTAGATTTCCTTTGTCCGCCACTCCTCTGCGGCGGCTCGTTCGCTTTCTGGAGTTTTACTGGCCAATTGAGTACTTCAAGTGAGTCTTTGCCAAAATGCTGGTCGGCTACACCGTGTGAAGCGAGAGGTCTCAAGAGGCTTTGCAAGCCTTGGCATTCAATCTTGACCTCATGCTGAGCCCGGGCGACAACGTGCTTCAGAGCCAATGATTCAACATTGGCTAGCGATATTTTGCCGTTCATCAAGTCTTCCAAGATCTTCATGAACTCGATGTCTTCCTCGGTCAAATCATGATTCTTCGCTAGCCTAAAGTTGATGGTCCGCGCTTTTTGAAACTCATCTTCGTCGACATCACAGCTAACCGCGCCGACGTGGTAGTAAACCTAGTTTTTGACCCCGCTACTGGTCTGGAGAAAATAAGCTAGAGCTTTCTGCGCTGAATTGATATCTTTCATGTCGTCACCGAGCTCATGCGTGCCGATGAATGTTGGTATTGGGAGGGATCTGGTAACATCCTGCAACAACTCAAATCCTTTTGAGATGATGTCTGATGTCTTGAGTAAGTCCTTGATCCCTTCACCGTTGAAATAGTCCAAGTTCTTGAGTATAAACTTGAACTTATCCTCCTTGTCCTTGCTTTCCAAGGCTCCTGCATCGTCACATTTCGCAGCCTTGCCTTGTGGCGTCGGCGGATTCAAGATGTGAAGATCTCGATGAGCAATTGGCTCCGGTTTTGAAGCGTTTGTTGTGGTATCTTGCGGTATCATGATCCGATTGGAATGCGCGAAATAGGCTAATGTTGCAATCGTTGCCTAAGGTATGCTGCAATCCCATCCTCATATCGAATGATGTCTCAACTCGCCTTATGTATAAGTCTAGAGATGATCTCGGAAGGTGCTTCAGACATCTCGATTGATCTGAATGACTGTAGAGTCATGTGTCAAAAGTGACCAGCGATTTGCCTTGGTTTCTTGCCCGCTCGTCCGGAAGCCACAAATCTCGCTCAAAGTTTCATAAGTACTATATGAAACAACAAGGTCTACAATCTGAGACTCATCCTAACACATTATAAGATACATGTGACATGTCAAATTCACGCAAGGCTATTGAGGAATGGCAAAGAAGTCGATCTTGATTGCAGGACTACTCTGAGGTTTCTAGACTTTGCCACAAACGAGCACTAACGTAGATACTCCATAAAGCCATTCAGCTGAGATACATGAAGGCTGAGTCGTATTCGTCTCTCTATCAGACGTGCAACATCTTGGCTTGATAGGATCGGTTGTCATGATTTACTATACGGATGCGAGTGGACGATATCTTTGGTACATATGTAATGCTGGCACTACTTCAAAGATTCACTGGGTCTATCGTACGTAAGTGAAGATCAACGCGAAAAGTATTGGTGCACTCGAGAGATAAGGTCTTATGCGGGTAGACATTGGATATGATGAAGTAGCAATGATAGATGAATGAAGTCTATATATGACATTATGGGTATAATTAATACAGATGACCGCCCAAAGCCCAACCCGCTATCGTTAACAGAGCACATTAGGAAGTTGCCTTCCCATTAAACATATAGGATCTTATACTGTAATGTAGAGCCCGATATCTCCGTACTAGTAGGCCTGACCAGTAGATTGGCCGATGTCCGTCGATGGTCCTTGAACCAGGCTGCTGACAATTGAGTCTTGCGCCTAGCAAAAAGGCGTGGGTTTCACATGCTACCCACGCTCTGTGCCCTCTCTTTCTCGATGGTATCGATCGAAAGCGGTCTTCCATTGACCTTCTTCCCTCCCGAGTGGCCTTCCATCTCTACAACGACCGTTGTTACTGTCTCCATCTGGATGCCTTCCATCTGCCCAGCCCGTCTCCTTAGAGACTCCTGGCTGATGCTCCGATGGGCTCCGCTGCGACGCCGATCTCTCTTCATGTCACCCGCGCCACGTCCCCCGCGGAATAACTTCCAGAGCCAGCCACCGGTACCCTCGTCCGCAGACAGGTTGTTTGGTGCACTGCCGGCGCCCTGTACCCACACCATGTTGCCATAACGCCGGTTAGCCGGTGTTCGCATGAAGGCGAAGGTCTCGATACCCGTCTCTTCGTAGTCTGGGGAGGCATTGAAGATGATGACATGACGAGTGGTGGAAAATAGAAGAACATCAAGCCAGCCGTTGGATGCAATCATTGCACCGGCGAGGCAGAAGTACTCCAAGGAAACAGACTTTCCAGCCATTGTGATGACACGACCCAACGCCAAAGGTGCCGTACACAGGATGTAGATTATCGGATAGATGAGGAAAGCAGGGTGATGTCCAGCGTTGCTTGGGTTAGACGCCGATGCAGCTTCGCCATGGGAGCTCTTTGGTGGCCCGGACTGGGACATTGTGTGGGCGTGGCTGAGTTTACGACCGCGGTTGCTCTGGGAGGCAGAAGACGTTGTGTTGTTGGAAGAGGAGGGTAGTTGAAGTGATGGGTCGGTACGTCGGATGTGGTTGAAGATGAGGACGTAGAGAACAGCAGTGATGAAGAAGGAAACAAACATCCACAGGTAGTGAAGGTAAAGACGCATTGCCTCATATCGGACATTCACCCAGCACTATGACGACGTTAGCTCGAGCTGAGATGTAGATATAATGACAAAATCTTACCCATGCAGCGGCACGGACGTAGAGTCCACCGTTGTCGGCTCCGTTGTTGGTGATGATGACGCCGGCTATGGCCAAGGCGTAGATGAAGAACCAAACAGAGCCGATCATGCACCAAAATGCCCAAGTCGGGAGCTTGTAATCCCTGACAACCGACAAATAGGTGTGAATGGCAATCGTGGTGATAAAAGCGCTGGAAGCCAAATCGCCTGTCGAGATGAACCAGCCCTGCGCCCAGCATGTCGTGCTCTCTACGATGATTCCACCCTTGTTGAGCCATGCCGCATTGAGCAAGAAAGCAAGAGCTTGCTGGATATCGGCCAGCAGCAGGTTGTAGATGAGCATCAGGAACTGGTTGGGTGCGTCCCTTTTGACTTTGTTCTTCTTATTGCCGGGGTACATCGTCTCCGGAAGACCCATCTCTTCCGCGAGGACGGCATCCGCGTTCGGCTCATCCGCCATGCGCTGTGGCCGGTCCGGGCCCGGTGCAAGATACCATGTTACCAACCGATAGGTCAAGACTAAGAAGAGTGCTGTTGTTGTGATGAACGAAAGGAAGCCAAAGAAGGAAACGGCAGTTAGGCCTCGTTGCAGAACTTCGGGAAGTGGCGTCAACGTTTGACTGTTCGGGTCCAGTTCCATGGCGGGCGGTCAACGGCGACGGAGCACCGGGTGGCGTTTCGGGATAGAACGGGGTGGGTGGTTCGGGTCGCCGTGAGACGACTTGTCTTTACCGAGCTGACATCCAAGCTTTTGGCGCGACGCCCTCTCCGATGGCAATCCTTTGTTGGCGAGTATGCCGGCTGACGCAGAGGTCGACGGTTTCGTGCAAAAGACGTTGCAAAAGTGGCTGCAAGCCAGATCATAAATGGCCTTGGTCTCTAGAGCTGGGCCAGACCAGACTGCGGAGCCAAGGTCGGTCATGGAGGCCCTGTCCCTGGCATAATCCTTAGCTTGGATGGAATCAACGCGACCCAACTTGTGAGGGGTGGTTTTTCAGCATTCGATTGACTAGGGGATGGGGATCATGTCGGGAAAGACCACTTCCGTACGAACGGACAAATCGAGGAAGATGGGAATTCGGGTGTTCGCCGGAGTTCCACCTCCCATAAATGGAAGTATGACCGGGATGCTGGATCCCTCTCTCAACGCAGTTTGGCAACCTGGAGATTTGAGGCGAGGGCGCGAGGGATGATTTGCGCGCCCGTTCATCTGGATCCGGGGAAAAAAGAGTTGTGGGCGATTTACAATCAGCGGTATGTTACGATCGACAGGCCAGTTGCTCTAGACTTTCCACGACATCCGTACCAAGAGCCGTAGTCACCAATAACTTTAGATAAAAGACAACGCGCTTCCATCGAAAGTTCAACGAATCCAGCAAAGATGTGTGTCTTGTTGCACTCAAGTAGCCGCAGTAGCCTCGACTCTTTGACTACCTATTTCATTTCACTAAGAACGAGCCTGTCAGAAAAAAAGTTAAGACAGGGGCGCAATGGGCGAGAAGGGGAGGGGGCTGCCACGAGGCCTGGCTGAGCTAGAAGCCAACGAACTCGTGCTAATTCGCTAGACCAAACCTTAGCTGAATACTGTGAAGCCCGTTGATTGGTGCTTTTCCGACATAATCAGGGGTGGGATCCTTCTTAGAGCCACCGGCATGATCACCGAGATGGGTTGCACGAAATGCTAGCTTTCATTTCGGTGTCCCTGCGTTGAGAAGACAAGTCAGGCTTCTGCAGTGGCACGATAATTGTAAGCTAGAATCTTGTCTGTCTGTGGAGTTGCTCATTGCATCTTTTGTCTCATACGTTGCTTGCGATGCTGCTTGTCGCCCTGTCCCCGCGAACTTCATCGTCTCCATAGAAGCTCCATAACGATTCTTCAGCTCAAGTTCCCACCTCCCACGTTGTGGATTCTGGCGCTAGGCTGAAGATGGCGACCTTTGACGAAACTCGACCGCGCTAACACGATGGCGGCGTCGAACTGCTCGTGGCTCACAAGCGAACCGTCGTCTAGATTGTTTCAAAATGTTCTCTCTCTTGGACTAGTCGCGAGAGAGGCAATAATCTCGGTCGATGACCGTTGGAACTAATGAGGCAAGAGATGCGTTTGATATCTGATTTGCAGGCCGTCAACGTGGTATCCAGGGACCTAATCCGATATACTCAACGATAGCTTCGGCATTCGAATGATGCAACCAAACACCTTGCAGGGCATTTGGCGTGCGCCACTGAAACGATCATCTCGCTGTCTTCCGAGCTGTCAGATTTGACCGATCTCACCACGAAAGAAAAAGAAAAGAGAACCGTTGTAAGATCTTTCTGCCCGGGGGACATATCAATTGACCCGATATCACATGAAGACCGTGCCGATTGACCTCTTTCGTAATGAGAACCAGAAAGAATCTATATACGAGACAAATGGTTGCGTAACAATTCATTGGGTTTTGGGTACGTAAATCGCCAATTCTCGACTCCGTGTCCGACGGATTGTTGTTGCCGGACTTGCCGCCATCGCGAGTTGAGCAAGTGGAGTGGCGGCTTGCTTTTTGCCAGCTGAGGACAGCCCTGTACGGCCGAAAGAAATCATGTCCCCAGCCCCATCCTGGGAGAAAGCAAGCATCGTGAGCTTCGGGTCGGATCATGTTTGCATAGAGCATCCGCCCTGTAATCGTACATGACTCTGTCGACACGAAACTCTGGAACAGGGGGGATGAGTAAGAGTTCCAGCATCGTAGCCACGCGATGAAGAGAAGAAGACCAGCCAGGACTTGGGATTCGTGATCATTATGAACCGGGCACCCTCGACCCCTGGGCTAAGCCACCTTGGAGAGGAAATTTGCAGGGCAAAGGGTCAGAGTTTAGGCTCTCGTAATAAAGCTAGAGCCAAGTTACGTTAGCTTCAAGACTCTTAGCGTCCAGCCGCACTGCAGGGGACACATCCGATCACTTGACCTGGGTCGCATTGGTTTCCTCAAATAATCTCCCCCAGCAGCAGGGCAGAATTTACGAAGCTTGGCTGTACTCCGTAGAGTGCAAACGCAGAATGTTGTTCCAGCAAAAATATCACGGAAACATGATTGTGACGCAAGAGATTTGATTGACTGTAGGATCGTGACC